CTGGAGAGGGAGGGGCTTTCAACAATGCAATGACGTTTACACAAATGGTTGCACACTTCTGTGTCTTCACCTCTGCAGTCAGAAGCAGCAATAGATCAGAGCACAAGTCCTCAATATTTAAAGAGCAGGGTTTCACCCAGGTTCCCATCAACTGCGTGCAAGCTGCTCCAGGGACACATGTAGAACTGCCAGCCATGGGGCAAGTGTGTGGGGGACGGGTAGCTGTTACAGTGCTACGGGCTGAAATTGACCAAACTGCAATTTACTGTCTTCAGCTTTCGTCTGGAAGTTGTAAGCCTTTGAACAGACCCCAGAGCTCCAAAATAGGTATGTGAGATACATTTTGTCAATACAATTGTCTAGTTGGGGAGACAAGTTCCTGATGCTTCCTGCTCTACCATCCTCCCAGATTCCTTAATCAAATGCACCGCAATTTTTAAACACTTTCTTCTGTTAAATGACATACAGGTTTTTGGCTATTACAAATTAAGCTACTATGACCATGAATGTACAGGTCTTCATATGGGCCTATGCTTTTATTTCTCTTGTGTTAATATGTAGGAGTGCAATGCCTTTGTCACAGGGCAGGTGAATATTTAAAAATTTTGCAAACTGCCAAATTGTGTTCTAAAGCGGCTATACCATATGTGTTTCACCCAGCACTGAATAAAGAGTTCCAGTTCTTCCACATGTTCACCAGCAACTGCTATAATCAGTGTTTTTAATGTTTGCTATTCTAATAGGCATGTAGTAGTAGAATCTCATTGTGGTTTTACCTTGAATTTCTGTAATGACTCATAATTTTGAGCATTTTTTTATGTTTATTTGCCACCCATATATCTTCTTTGGTGAAATGTCCATTTATATCTTTTGCCTATTGTTAAAATGAACATTGGTTGATATTTCTATTTTCATTAACAGGAATACATTGAAACTGCAAAGAAATTTGTTGGAATGTCAGTCATTTATCAATGACGTCAGTAATTTATTTGCTTAATGGGGTAAAATTTTTTGAGTACTGAAAGAATATTTCCTTGCAATTCTGTGCTGTACCCAATGGAAAATGACAGACACAATACACCTTTAAGTTTAATCTGAATTATTAACATACTCTCTACTTTCTTAAATCTTCACATGAAACAATAAATCAAGCTCTGAATTGTAGTGTTTACCACACAGTCAATTTCAAGATACAACATGATGTCTGTGAATGTGAAATTAGGGCAAGGTGTGTAGTAGCACAGCATCATATTCTGTTTCTACCATATGGGGATACATTAAATATAAATAACCTTAAAGCATGGATAATAGTAAAACATAGTAAAATAATGAATGATGAGTTTTAAGTATCTCTTAGCTTAAAAAATCCAGCCTTACTCAAGTCTAAACTACGCATATTTAACATGTAAAATTTGATACATGTTTCTACCTATGAAATTAAAGGCTTTTCTTGAGCCCTTTGTAATCTCCCTCTGTACTCATCCATCTGCTGGAAACCACTGATCTGCTGTCTGTCACTACATATTTGTTTACCTTTTTTTCAGAAAAATTACATTAATCTGGGAGCAGTTTAGGTAGGCAGTTAGAGTTCAATATCCGCTATGAAATTGCAGGCAAGCTGTCTACTGGGGTTGTAGTCTCTGAAGACTTGCCTGAGGCTACAAGATTCAATTCCAAGGTTTTTTCTGTTGACAGGAGGCTTCAGTTCCTTGCCACATGGGTCTCCATAGGAATGATCATGATGGATACTCTCAAATAAAGCAAGTGATCCAGGAGCAAGAGAATGCACTAAGAAGGAAACCAGTGTCTTTTATAACCTAAAATGGAGGTGATTTGCCCTCACTTTTGCTATATTATGATTCATATAGGTCAACTCTAGTAAAATGTAAGAGGGCTACACAAGAGTGAGAATACTGGAAAGTAGGAATTTGGGGGACCATCTTAGATCCCCCAACTACAATTGTATGTTTTTTCTTTTTTACATTAATTTTCATATACCAAACCCTGCATTTCTTGTATAAATTACTTTTTCTTGATATGTTACTTTTTTAATATTGTTGGATTTGATTTGCTAAAATTTTGTTCAGGTTCTGCATCTATGTTAATGAAGGATATTGGTCTATGGTTTTCCTGTAATGCTTTTGTCTGGTTTTGGTATGTTACCTTCACAGAGTAAGTTGGAAAGCATGTCTTTCCAATTTTTTGGAATAGTCTGTGTAGAATTGGTATGTTTTTTTCTCTAAATGTTTAGTAGAATTCATCACTGAAGCATTTATGCCTGAAGTTTGCTTTGTGTGAAGGTTTCTAATTCCAAATTTAATTTCATAAATAGGTGTAGGGCTATACGGGTTATCTTATATGATGACATCTGTATTGGTGTCTCTTCTCTCATTCCTGATATTGTAATTTGTGTATTTACTCTTTTTAATTTGATAAACTCTTGGCTAGAGGTTTGTCTATTTTATTATTATTATTTAAAGATTTGTTGTTGATAGCTTTTAAAAATAGATATTTATTTATTTATTTTGGCTGCACCAGGTCTTTGTTGCGGCATGTGGGATCTTCATTGTGGCATGTGGGATCTTTAGTTGCTGCATGCGAACTCTTAGTTGCAGCATGCATGCAGGATCTAGTTCCCTGACCAGGGATCGAACCCAGGACCCCTGCATTGGGAGCATGGAGTCTTACCCACTGGACCACCAGGGAAGTCCCTATTTTATTATTCTTTAAGGCTTTGGGTTTCACTGACTTTCTCTGCAGTTTATTCTGTTTACTTCATTGATTTCCATTTAGATCTTTAGTATATTATTTCTTCTCCTTTCTTTGCTTTTCTCTTTTCCTAGTTTTTAAATATGGAAACCGAGATCCTTTTTCTGATACCTTTTCTTTTGTTTAATGTGTTTAAAAAAAACAAACCACCTTCACCTAGCCATCAGTTCTGACAATTTTCTTCTGTTTCCTACTAAATTATTCATACATTTATATTTTATATTTCAGTCATGATCCACCTTGAGTTCATTTTTGTTTAAGGCATGAGGTTAGATTGATGTTAATTTCTTTTGCCTATGGATGTTCAATTGCTCCAGTATTATTTGTTGAAAAGACTTCCCTGCCTTCATTTACTTGATTTAGTTGGTTTGTCAAAAATCACTTGGTAAGTTTGGGTCTATTTCTGGATTCTCAGAATGGTTCAGAACAGAATAGTTCTATTGACCTATTTTTTTAAATTAATTAATTAATTAATTTATTTATGGCTGCGTTGGGTCTTCATTGCTGTGCACAGGCTTTCTCTAGTTGTGGCGAGTGGGGGCTACTCTTCATTGCAGTGCGTGGGCTTCTCATTGTGGTGGCTTCTCTTGTTGTGGAGCACAGGTTCTAGGTGCATGGGCTTCAGTAGCTGTGGCACACAGGCTCTAGAGTGTGAGTTGTGTGGTAAATGGGCTTAGTTGCTCCACGGCATGTGGGATCTTCCCAGACCAGGGCTCGAACCTGTGTCCCCTGCATTGGCAGGCAGATTCTTAACCACTGTGCCACCAGGGAAGTCCTTGACCTATGTTTTTAATCCCTGCATCAATATCATGTTATCCTATTTACTGTAGCTATATAACCCTTATCATCATGTAACCCTTAACACTAGGTAGGATGATTCCCCTCAAATGGGACCCCCTCCAACAAAGGCTCTAAAATATGTCAAATTTAAATCAACAGGCATATCTTTTAGTGCCCTCCAAGATTATTTCACTGTTGATGCCATGGCAACCTCTTCTCGTGTGTCCTGGAGTTTCTGGACCACCTATAATGGCCATAAGTTGCTTCAAGAGCTTCTGAAGCAAGAAGATGCCCCTCTTGGCCTCTGCTATACAGCACTGAAACAAAATGACTGACTACATACTGAGCTCTCCTGGAAACAGAGGTTCTCACAGACCTTGAGCCTGTGACCCTTCATACCCAGCTGCCAATTAGGCATTAGGTCATGGGAACAGTACCCCACAAGGTTGGCATGGCTACTGAGACCTCCTTAAGACAAGATGGAGCCAAACCTGGAATCTCTGGTATATTTTACCTCCAGGAGGGGGTGGTATCACCTTTCCTCAGTCCCTTGCCAGATGCCATAGTGCTGGAAGAGGTCACTCTTGCTCCAGACCCTTTGGCTACCTGGAGAGCCCCTTGGGATTAACTGAATGAACAGCAATGTGATTTCATAAACTGTACAAATGACACTATGAACCATCATAAAAATCGATGGTTTTAATTGTTTTTTTTAAACAGTGGAATGTTGCTACTTTCATTCCTTAGTCAGGATGACCCTGATAAAGGTTAGGACCTATGGATCAATACAATTGACTGAACTTCAGGCAGTCATTTTAGCACTAAATGTCCCAGCCAACAAATGGCCCAGTCATTTCATTTATTACAAACTGTTGGGCCATTGCCCCCATCAGGGTAAAAAAACTCTGGGAATCTCTTGCCTCAGAGATATCCAAAATATAAATCAAAATCACGTGTCTCTACATATACTAAGACCACGTGCAACCTTGCCAGGACACACCTTATTCCCTTTATTCCCTTTGGAGTTATAGACATTACTGATAAAAATCAAGGTACACATTTGAGTTCCCAGAATACACAATACTGGGTGTCCGGTAAAGCTTTTCAATAGGACTTTCATGTTTCTGATAAGTCTCACATAGCCAGCTTGACTGAGAGACATAATGGTCTGCTTGAGACAATTCAAATTCTAGTCCAGAAAATTGAGCCTAATGGGTTTCTCTTTTGCCCCAGGCCTTAATCTGTCTTTACAAATTGTCACTATTGTCCCCATTCTGTAAGGGCTAGAGGCCAGATTGAGGGTGCATATTCTCTGGGGACCCATTTGAACCTAAACTTCCACCAGAAAAGAAAATAAAAACAGCACATCAATTGCAGCTGTACAGACTTTTGACTGTCAAATAGAGAATATTTTTCTCTATTTTCTCTAACAGTCAAATAGAGAATATTTTCTATTTTATATTCAAAAGTTTCTCACCAGCACAAATTCTCTGATGCTGAACAATGTTTAAGCCATACAAAAAGGACTTCCTAAATTCCTTAAATTCTTAGGGCTTTACACCCATATGGTTTCTCTGATGTGCTTTAAGGGCTGAACTATATCTAAAGGTCTTTCCACATTCCTTACATTCAAAGGGTTTCTCACCTGTATGAACGCTCTGATGCCCAATAAGTTGTCCATGCACAATAAAGGCTTTCCCACATTCCTTACATTCATAGGATTTCTCACCAGTATGAATTCTTTGATGCTGAATGAGGTAAGAGCCAGAACTAAAGGCCTTCCCACATTCCTTACACTTACAGGGTTTCTCACCAGTATGGATTTTCCCATGTTGTACAAGGTATGAGGCACGACTAAAAGTTTTTCCACATTCCTTACATTCATAGAGTTTCTCATCAGTATGAACCCTCTGATGCACAGTAAGTTGATGGCGACTAATAAAAGCCTTGCCACATACCTGACATTCATAGGATTTCTCACCAGTATGAATTCTCTGATGCTGAACCAGGTATAAGCCAGTACTAAAGGCCTTGCTACACTTACACTCATAGGGTTTCTCACCCATATGAAGCCTTTCATGTTGAACAAGGTATGAGGCACAACTAAAGGCTTTCCCACATTTCTTGCATCCATAGGGCTTAACCCCTGCATAAATTCTCTGATGTGCATTAAGAAATGAACTAAGGGCTTCCCTGGTAGCGCAGTGGTTGAGGGTCTGCCTGCCGATGCAGGGGACATGGGTTCGTGCCCTGGTCTGGGAAGATCCCACATGCCGCAGAGCGGCTGGGCCCGTGAGCCATGGCCACTGAGCCTGCGCATCTGGAGCCTGTGCTCCGCAACGGAAGAGGCCACAACAGTGAGAGGTCCGCATACCACAAAAAAAAAAAAAAAAGAAAAGAAATGAACTAAGTCTAAAGGCCTTTACACATTCCTTGCATTCAAAGGGTTTCTCACCAGTATAAATACTCTGATGTTGAGTAAGTCGTCCATATAGTAAAGGCCTTGCCACATTCCTTACACTCATAGGGTTTCTCACCTGTATGAATTCTTTGATGTTTAACAAGGGGGGGAGCTAGTACTAAAGGCCTTCCCACATTTTTTACGTTCATAGGGTTTTTCACCAGTATGAATACTCTGATGCCGAATAAGCTTTCCATACACTATAAAAGCTTTCCCACATCCCTTACATTCATAGGACTTCTCACCATTATGGATTCATTGATGCTGAACAAGGTATGAGCTACTATAAAAAGCTTTTCCACATTCCCCACATTCATATGGTTTCTTACCAGGATGCAGACTCTGATGTACAGTAAATTGATGGCTACTGCTAAAGGTCTTCCCACATTCCTCACCTGCATATGGTTTCTCACCAGTATGAGTTCTTCCATGCTTAACAAAGGCTGAGCCTTTAATAAAAGCCTTCCCACATTCCTTACATTTATAGGATTTCTCACCAACATGCAGCCTCTGATGTACAGTGAGTTGATGTCCATTACTAAAGTTCTCCCCACATTCTTTACATTGGTAGGTTTTTTCACTAGAACATATTCTTTCATGTTGAACATGCTTTGAGACTTGACAGATAGTCTTCCCACATTTCTGACATTCAAATGGTTTCTCTCTATGAAGATTTCTCTGATGCAGAGCAAAAGATGCAAATTTTTCATAGGTGAGCATTTCTTTATAGCTGATTATCTCATCCTTCAACTGAAATTCTGAAAGAAAATTTAAAAACCCCAAATATTTTGTTTTCCTATATGAGAAAAACTGGATTTCAATAGAGTAAAAGAGACAAATTGAATAGAATCCATTAAAAATAAATAACCTAGGTAATACTAAAATACTGTTATGAAAGCCAAAAAAAAAAAAAAAGGTCAAGGAAGAATGCAGAGATGAATGAGAGTTTATGTAAAATAGGAAGGCTGGTGATTGGCTTCATTTCTGATCTTTAGATGTGGATAAGAATCTTTGAAGAGTTTGTTAAAAAATTGATGTTCAGGGCTTCCCTGGTGGCACAGTGGTTGAGAGTCCGCCTGCCGATGCAGGGGAACGGGTTCGTGCCCCGGTCTGGGAGGATCCCACATGCCGCGGAGCGGCTGGGCCCGTGAGCCATGGCCGCTGAACCTGCGTATCCGGAGCCTGTGCTCCTCAACGGGAGAGGCCACAACAGTGAGAGGCCCATGTACCGCAAAAAAAAAAAAAAACGAAACAAAAATTGATGTTCAAGGACCATCCCAGGCCCCATGAATCAGAATACACAGGGGACGTTCCTGGGCACTAACATTTCCAACATTTCTAACAAATGCTTCCGGTATAGATGAAATTTCATCCCCCTCCCACACCCCCACCCACCCCCAGTCGTTTCTCTTTACACTTAGGATAGAATCCATGTATCTTTCCATGAATAATATGGTCTCTGCTTACCTATCAGGCCTCATATCAAGTCATAATTCCTTTCTTTTGTTCCCTATTTACCTCACTACCCCGCTTCAGCACCTGGAATGTGTCACAAATTTTCTCATCTTTTGGTTCCATCTGCAGGTGGCGTCAACTCCCAAAAATCCTTTGGCATGTGTCGTTTGCAGACTGTAACTCTCTCATCCTGTATATGTTTAAGGTAAAATGTCACTTATCAGGAATACTGCAAACTGCTGAACTTGTCTAACGATGTCCATGCCTTTATTTTCTGTCCTAACGCTTCATTCCTGCCATTCCGACCTGTTTTCAATTGCATAATTATTTCTCTTTGTTATGATTTTTATTTCTCCCAAAACTCCCTGTGGTAGACAGCATTTTGGCCTTCATGTCCTTTGCCCTCACCACGCTTATGAAGATGATACATCACATGGAAAATAGTATATAATCAAGTTTACTAACTAGTTGATTTACTATAAGGAGATTATCCTGGATTCTCTGGAAAGGCCCTTCAAAGAGCTTTCTCTTGGCTCAGGGCAGAAGGGGAATCAGAGACGTTCAAAGTGTGAGAAGGACAAGACTTGCCAGCTGCTGGCTTGAAGACGGAGGTGGGCCACATGCAAAGTGTAAGAAGAAAATAAATTCTGCCAATAGCCAGGGAGCTGGGAAGAGGACCCCATGCCCTAAAGAACTGCAGTCATAGCTGGTACCTCGACTTAGCCATCACATGCTGAACTTCTGATCTATAGAACTATGTGATAATAAATAAGTGTAGTTTTAAGCTACTAAGTTTGTGGTAGTTTATCATACAGCAGGAGACAACTAATACACTCCCCAAGAGCAAGCCCAACCCCTGTTTCATTCAGCACAGAGCTATAACCCTCTGGCACACAGTAGGAACCGATTTCAAAAACAAAAAACAGAAAACAAATCCCTAGGCAAGAGAAATGAATTAAGATATTATTAAAAGACACTATTACAAAAAGAATTCACTGATAATGAAACTGAGGACCCTGTGGGGCTCCTGAACACAGAAGCCTTTTTATCCCCCATTTCTTGTAGGCAAGACTCCAGCCGCCATGACCTTCCCTGAGTTCCAAAGGGCAGATTCTGAGTGAAGAGCAATGTGAACATTCTTTGTATAATTTGCAACTTTTCTGTAAGCCTGAAATTATTTTTTAAAAATGTTTTATTCTGCTCAGGGTGATGGTTATGTGGATATCTGCCTTATAATAACTCATTAAGCTGTATATTTTAATGTGGTTGTTTGGTTTCTATCTTGTATTTAATAGACATTTAAAAAAATTAAAGTTGGAAAAACATAAATTAGATCATGGCTTCTAGTCACTTTCAGAAAATAATCCAAATTCCTGATAATTAACACATATATAACCTGGCCCTTTCTAACGTTCTACCTTTTTTCTTGTTACTCGCTCCTCATTAGTTATGTTTTACTCTGCTATTGCTTCTGAAGCACACAAAGCTCACTTCCACCTCAAGGAATTTACATTTGCTGTTCACTCTGCCTGGAATGTTCTACATAATCAGATAGCCTAAGCCCTTACTTCTTGTTCTTATCTCTGTCCAGTTACCACCACCTCAGAATATATAAATAAATCTAAATGCAAAAGAGGAGGTGAACGCAGTCAAATTAAAAACACAGCTGAAACCGGTTTTCAGGGCAGAAATAGAGACACGGATGTAGAGAACAAATGTATGGACACCAAGGCGGGAAAGTGGCCGGGGTGGTGGTGGTGGTGGGATGAACTGGGAGGCTGGGATTGACATATATACACTAATATGTATAAAATGGATAACTAATAAGAACCTGCTGTATAAAAAAATAAACAAAATAAAACTCAAAAATTAAAAAAAAACACAGCTGAAGTATTATACTGGGAAAGAGAATAAGCCTAATAAAGTGACTGGGAAATTTGATGAGAGTGAATGTTAAAATTGGTAAAGAGTTGGAAAATTTGGTGAGATATTCATCTTTCCCCCAAGTCTCAGGCCTTTGAAGGGTCTTCCAAACAACCTCTCAGAGATGTGCCTACTCCCTAACCACATGGGCTGTTTCCAGCAGTGATGGCTTCTCTACCCAACATACTCTTACTCACCTGTGTATTGTCTCCCTTGATCTTTCTTTACTATCATCCAGGGCTCTTTCCATTGTTCCAATAAGGTAATCACATGTGGTTTAGAACAGGAATGATGTGCTTACAAGATAAGAATGCCATATAATGAGAAATAAAGGATGAATTCAAAAATACTTTAAGCTTGTGTTAAATTTGTAATAAACTAAAGGTCAAAATGATTGCTAAGCACTACAGAGAAGAGAATGGCAAGAGGATTCAAGAATCCAGATAGGAGGGGAAAGGTCTTATTTTAAGTGAAATCTATGTACTTACCTACCTACCTACCTTCTGTGTCTTGACAGAAAGCATGACATTGTAACTGAGAACAAAGACTGTGGACCCAGAGCACCTGGGTTCAAATTCCTGGTTCTGCCATGTACTAGCTGTGCGACCTTGGATAACTCAAACTCACTGTGCTTCAGCATTCTCATCTAAAATGATTACTTATATTTGTATTTGATTTGTATCAACTGATTTTTTCCCCCCACAATCACCTTATGAAGTACTATGTTTATAAAGAGCTTAAAATAGTGACTGGTACACAGTTAGAACAATGCAAGTTATCAACATTATTATTATTTTTCTAAGAGAAAAAAGAAAGTTTCCTGAGACATCTATATTTATAATTCATTTAATCCTAAATGCAAAGCTCATGGATTATAAATTTTAACTACAAAATCAGGTAAATTGTTTTGGAAGAAATAAAATGATGTAATTTCAGCTTTAAATAATTTATGTTTATCTAATGCACCACTAAATAAATTGCACAGGCTCTTCAGATGGAACAAATCAGAACCTTTGTCTAGCTGTTTTGCCTGCAGGTGGGCTCACCATTTTGGGCATAAACACAACAGGAAATCTGACCTTTGTCAATATTTATAGAACACCCCAGGATTCTAATCCTGCCATTTCATCAGTTCCAACCTAACAAAGCTCAAACTACTTTGAGAACAGGGAGAAGAAATTACATTCACTTCTTAAGACAGCCCTAAAATGTACAACGAAGAAAGTATTTCAGGGAGCAGATTCTAATTTATTTGAGAGATGTAAACTTACCCAGAGAGACCAAGTTCCTATAGTTCTCCAACATCATATCTCTGTCCAAGTCCCTCTGAGTAGAATCCAGACTCTCCCACTCCTGCTGAGCGAAGGCTATGGCCACATCCCTGAATGTCACTGATCCCTGAAACTGCAAACCCACATATTTCTGGTGAAATTAAAGGAAATGTAGCCATAGCTAAGACCCGAGGCAGGCAAAAATTAAAAAAAAAAAAAAAAGAAAGAAAGAAAATGTTTTCAAGATGAAAGGAGAGGAAATAAAGAGTTCCAATGTAACAAAGTAGCAATAATACAGCAATCAAGTAGGCTGGTGGCTCATGATATAAGAAGTAAAGGAAGCAGATGCAAACTATTATATATAGGATGGATAAACAACAAGGTCCTACCGTATAGCACAGGGAACTATAAATATCCTGTGATAAATCATAATGGAAAAGAATATGAAAAGAATATATGTATAACTGAGTCACTTTGCTGTATAGCAGAAATTAACACAACACTGTAAATCAACTATACTTCAATAAAATTTTTAACAAAAGTAAGTGAAGCAGAATATCTTCATGTTCTAGAAGAATCCTGTGCTATGGACAAAATTTCCTGTTACATTGTGGCATACCACAATACTCCAGAGCTATTGGGAAATGGATAAAATAATCCAAGTTTCTTTGTTAAATAAGAGTATACACAAAGACACTGCCTGCTAGGTGCCCCAATACATTCTCAAGAACTATTAGTCTCTACGTTATTTTCCCTTTAAGAGAAAAGGTTTGGGGTTTTTTTCAAGCATAAAAATCTCTATTTTAGAAAATAGATATTATACAACTTTGTTAATTCCTCAAGCTTCAAGATCATTATGTCGGATCATATCATAAGCATTTTTCCTTGTATTGATAAATATATTTTTCATGATGGCATAAAAGTACATCTCAGGGATACAAATATCAGAGTTTGTAATTATTTTATATTTATATGAGATTGGACCAAATGCCCCAGGTTTCCCCGGTTCTGGTAATCTATGTTAACCTACTACTTATGATAATATGCTTATTAGTATATTGTCATGCAACATTCCTCACTCCACACTTTGTCTGTTCTTCAGTTAGTGGATAATGATGCAGATGATTCAGAATCAAAAGTAAGTCACCCAAGTCCAGCAGGTCCCATTCCACAACAAAACTGACCTAGTACCACTCTCTCAGGCATCACCTGGCAAGAACCATGCTATCAATGTTTCCATGTCACAATCACATCTCTAATGTGTCCCTAAAAGCCTTACAGAGCATGTGAGCTCATCATATTAAGACTGAGACCAATCAATACAAAATCCCATCTTATCAGGTCTGTGAAAAATGTTTAATTTTCTGATGTATGGTAAAAATGAGGCCAGTATCTCGAACTCACCAAACCAGAGACTGACATAAGAAACTCAAATAATTTTCTCGTGGGACTTCATATTTTCACTGCTCCATCACAGCCCTTCAGCAAAGACATATCACATAGGACCTGTTCAGTAATTTGCTCAGTGAATTCATGAACACCAATTAGAAAAGGACATCTCATAAGGAGGAAGCAGTTATTTGGCACTGTTTCACTAGGAGGAATCAGGAAGCGGGTAATTAGATGGCGCTCTATTAGGAAGAACACTGTAGGTTAATGAATGACAATTATCTATGTAATCTAAAAATCCCAATATTTCAAGGAGAAACAACAACTTACTTGGGCCATGTTATCAGAAATGTAAGAACTGATCAGTCTTCCTTGGGCTTCTTCTATCCGAAGGGTTCAAATTCTAGAAAATTCAGAGCTGAGAGACGAAAAGGAGGCTTTAGTGTTCCCCATAACTTCGGCCAATAAAACTTGTCCCCCCATTTCAGCTTCCAAACTATGACACAACCGCCCTCACATAACATTTTGTGGAAGAACAGAGGGATTCCGGATAAATCTAAACCCAGTGAACCAAGCTGTAAACAGCTGGTTGCAGAACAACAGCACTTCTTCAGTGAAGCCAGAATCAGACACTTCTGTAGGTTTTCTGGCTAAGTCTCCATTTTGGGAAGGCTCCTGTGGATGGTAAGATTGGGCTGCACAGTTCTGTTGTGAACAGATTCTCCTCCCTCCATTCCTACATTCTAACCAAAAAAGAGACCATATCACCCAAACCAGAACTTCCTTTGTGGCTTCAGGATAAGATCAAACCACCTGAGAGGGAAAATATAGATGATATTGATCTGACATTTACAAACATCTCAGTGGCTCAGTTTTCTCATCATTAAAATAGGGATAAGAATATCAGCAACTACATATGGTTATCTTGCAGAATAATAAGAAAATTCAGTTAAAACACGTACTAGAATAGAATAATTGCTTAACACGGGTTAGCTATTTAAGAACATTACATGCCTCTTATTTCATTTTTATTATTTTTAATGAACATTCTGTATTTTTATTTGCTCAATCTGACAACTAACTTGGAAGTATTGCCTTTTTTGTTTGTTTTGGCCGCGCAGCACAGCCTGCGGGATCCTAGTTCCCCGACCAAGGATTGAACTTAGGCCTTGCCAGCGAAAGGGCTGAGTCCTAACCACTGGAGTGCCGGGGAACTCCCTCAGTTTTATAAAAGTAAAACTTTGTTTCCAATTTTTGCTTATCTCTGGCATGCTTTTTTTTTTTTTTTTTTTAGTTGCTTGGAATCAGCTTTTCTTTAGGAAATCTTCTAGGGACAATTCTGACATATTTAAAATAACTGTTCACAGAGATGCAATCCACATGCGCATTCCAACAAATCCATGAATCAGCAATCAGAATGACAAGCTGTCTTGTATTCTATCTAAAACATTTAGAGGCTGGCCTTAGGAATGCAACTCTTCTTTTAAAAAATAGCAGAAACTATTCTCTGACATTTAAATTTCCCCTTTAATTTCTTCGTAGAAATTACAGAGAGAGGCACCATTCTGCAATAAGATGCAAAACTACAATAATTCACAAAGGTTGAATCTCGTTCTTTCTGAGCAATACGGAGACTGATGTAAATGTTTAGAGCCAATATCATCTTATTCTCTTTTCTTATATAAAATTATCACTGGAAAAGTAATTTGAACAACAGATCCTTGGAAGTCATTTTTCCTGCTCTAAAATTCCAATCTCCAGATCAATTATGTGCCTTCCTGCCGGGAAACTTCATACAGGGGCTCAATAACCGACCTCCTTCTGGGGACCAGCTGTCTGGGGCAGACCCTTGTGGCTGGGAGGGGAATGGGGCAGGTGGCAGCAGGCACCTGCAACACGGGTCCCAGTGGCACACCTCTCAGCTGAGAATCCAAGTTCACAGGGAGGTCCTGGCTCCAATCTTCGCGGACTCACACCCGCACTCTCTCTCACAAATTACCCTCCCTCCCCTGACCGGAGCAGCCCTGCCTCCAAGCCAGGAGCGCCTCGTCCACCCTCCCACTGCCCGCCTGGCAGGGTCCGGGGTCCGCACCGGCCCGCACGCCCCGCACTCACTGCTTCCCTTCCCGGAACCCAGACCCAGTTACCCGGTGGTGCTGGTCCGAGTCTGCAGAGCTCTCCCCCGAGGCCGGGCTCTGACTTTTTCCTTACAGAAGTCCACAGCTCGCTGCCGCGCCGACAATCACAAACGACAGGGGGAAAGGCAGAGGTCTAGATTGCCCCGGCGGCCTGTGGAAAATGTAGTCCGGAGTGGTGAAACCTGAGTACGTGCGCGGCCCGCCGCCTAGACAACCGCTAATCCCGCGCCCCATCGGCAGTGGGAGTTCGCAGGCACAGGCTGACACCAGGCCCTGACTCTGCCCACCTTAGAGGCTGGGTTTAATGGGTTGGTCCTCCCGGAGTGAAGAAGGAGAATTGTACTCCAGGGAAGGCGGAGTTGAGGACACAGGAGTTGACGATCGCTTGAAGCCTAAAGAAGAGAGCCAACCCAGGACATTACCATACCAGACCCCCCAAACCATAATAATATATACTAAAATGTGTTATTACTTTAACATAAAAATATGAAAAATAGGTATTTGAAATTACTTATCGTTCTGTATTGTTTACTTTTCCGTTACAGAAATGCTATTATTTTTTTTTTTTTTTTTTTTTTTTTGCGGTACGCGGGCCTCTCACTGTTGTGGTCTCTCCCATTGCGGAGCACAGGCTCCGGACGCTCAGGCTCAGCAGCCATGGCTCACAGGCCCAGCCGCTCCGCGGCACGTGGTATCTTCCCGGACTGGGGCACGAACCCGCGTCCCCTGCATCGGCAGGCGGACTCTCAACCACTGCGCCACCAGGGAAGCCCAGAAATGCTATTATTAAATAGAACATCAGTAGAACTAATAGTGGCAATTAGTAGTAATAGTAAGACAGATTAAACAGGTGTGTGAGACAAATGGTTCTGTCCTCTGATACAGCATTTTAACTTTTTATTAGATATTAGATATTTAAATTTTGTACACTGTATTATGTGTGTGTATATATATATTTATTTATTTATTGGCTGCACGGCTTGCAGGATCTCAGTTCCCCAACCAGGGACTGAACCCGGGTCACAGCAGTGAAAGTCCAGAATCCTAAACACTAGGCCACTATGGAACTCCCTATGTATTCTTTAGATTCCTAAATGTAAGAAAATTTAAGAGTGTTGGGCTAATTAAACAGATGTCATCTTTATTTAAAAGAAATGTTTCTTTCTGTTCCATGGTACATTAAGATATTTTTACTCTTTCTGTTTCTTTTTCCAGTGCAACTTCTCTGAACTACCTGTAGCCTTTATGACACTCTTCTTTTCTTCTATACAGTGGTAAAACTGAGTACAGTCAAACATAAAACTCACTTTGACTCGCAGATTTGGTCTTATCAAGCCCGCGTGACACTCATTCTTGCCGTCAACCCAATGTTATGACATCAAGCAAAATATCATCTCAACAAAGTATTTGCATATGGAATACTTAGGATTTTACTTAGTTTCCAGTGCTCCAAAAGTGTCCTTCCACTTTGTATCTACAGGCTTTTTTGGTCAAGTAACTGTTTGCTGGCCAGAGCCTTTACATCAGCAGTCCCCAACCCCTGGGCCACTGACCAGTATGGTCCGTGGCCTGTTAGGCACCGGGCCACACAGCAGGAGGTGAGCAGCGTGCTAGTGAGCAAAGC